AAATCTATGAGGTGGTTATTGTCATTTTCTTAGAAAGTGGTAGAGTCAAGGTGGTGACTCAGGTCTTGCTGTCTCTAGAACATACCCTCTTAACCCCTGAACCATTCTGCTCCACAGTAGCTTCTAGACACTGTGAGCTTTGATAATTAAGGTCCAGTTAGGAAAAGGGATGTGTTTCCAACTTCCCCAATTGTTCACATACCTGCTTTAGCCCCTCTATGAAAGGAACTTGAGCTTGAAATTGAAATAATTTGAAGTGAGTTAACTGAGCACTGATGTAAAAGAAATAGGCCTGAGGATGTAAAAAACTTTCCTTAGTCGTTCTTCTGTGTACAGCACTTAGTTGTGCAGACCCAGTTGCCCTTTTGTTTTGTGAGCTTACAGTTTAATTCCTAATGCAAATAGAAATAAGAGGTAAAGACAGTGGAACTGATACTACAGTTACTTAAGTAACGGAAGGGTTTGTGTTATGCATAACTCGATGGATAAATGAGTACAGTGAGGATGGGAAAAGGGAAATGGAACTGGACGTTAGCTGTGTCGTGGAGTGAAGGCCAGTGTGCTCTGTGGGAAAGAGCAGAGTTGGGCGGTCACGTATATTGTAGCACTTAGGTTACTCACTTGGAAGACAGCTGTGATGGATTAATGCTGGACTTGGAACACAGCCTACAGCTTACTGCTTTGTACAGGGATTGCATCGATCCTTATTCACTGAGCTCAAGATGACTCAAGATGGAGCTGGGACTTGTGAGAATACGATCAGGAAATGCAAGGGAGTCAGGAGACAGTGTGGTAGGGATGAGTTGGTACTGACGGCGTCGTGTTCAGACGTTGCGTAGAGATGAGATGCGAAACTGCCTTTGACTGAGATCAGTGGTGAGAAAGGAGAGGGGAGTCTCGCTGTCTTGACTCCAGAGTTGCTCGTTGTGGTTGTAATGTTATGGGTCATAAAGTTATCTCTGTTTTGTGAATAGCTAGTATTTGGGATGGGAAATGCTTTTGTTTCTTTCGTAAACTTTTATTACAGAGAAAACTTTTGAACTTGGGGGAACTACAAATAGTGCTGAAAAGTCAAACCTCCGAGGCAGACACCTGGGGCTCCGGTGCTGCTTTATTGCTTATGAGCCGTGTGACTTTGAGCAGGTCCCTGACCTCTCTGATTCTTCATCTCTGAAGCAGGGAGGGTAGTATTCCTGCCTCATCGGGTTAGGTCAGGATTAAATCAAGTTGTGTTTGTGACACTTAGAACAGCCCTTAGCTCGTAGTACATAATCAGTACACTTATTAAGTTTTGTTTGTGCAAATGTTAACAATTATTTCCGAGCTGCTACCATAACTATTATCATCATAATTGTTTGTTGCCATTTACCTTTTGGAGCTGTTTTGTCCTGCATGGTTACAGCTGATTTTTCTGTCTTAATTACAAAGAGAGGGATTCTGTTTCTGATATTTTCATCTACTGTTTCCTTAATCCATAACAGCTTCCTGCTTCCCACCATGTTGACTCAAACTTCTTTTGACAAGTGTTTAGGTCCCTCTGCCAATGGGGTTTAGCTGTCTCACCACCCTCTTTGATTATTTCCCAGGTCAGTCTTTAGCCACAGGCCCATGAGTCAGCCTGTCCTCCTTTGTACAAGATTTTGTGGGCCATCCATGGCGTCTTCCGTTCTTCCCCATCACGTGCCTGGTAGCTTTCAACACTCACTTCTTCCTGGGCAAGTGGCCCCACCTTACCGGTCCACTTGGCAACCTGACATCTTACATTTGAAGAATTGTTCTCTGTGGTCTTCTAGACTATCTACATTGCTGTTCCTCCACCTAAATACTAAACTGTTGGGAGATAGGACTGCTAAATCGTACATTCTATGAAGACCAAGATTGTATCCGATTTCTCCATCACTGTATCCCCAATGCCTTGTATTGTGTCTAGCAGCACCCAGTATTTCTTGTATAAACAACTTTTCTTCATTGAAGAGATCTTTAAAAGATCTCATTCGGATTTTGTATACAGTTGCTTAGTGAGTACCCTTACGTGAATCAAACACCCATTCCATTTCACAGAGGAAATTCTGGGACCCATGAGGTAGCTGCATGGTCTCCACACAACTCAATGAAAGCCTGTATTTATGAACAGTCATAGTGTTTTTTACATTTTCATTGTACTTTACCTTTTGAGAGGAGCAAATTTTTATTTTTTTAAGTAGCTCTTGTTTTTTTTTGACTTATTATCATTTAATATCATGTTTGTACATCTTTAAAGATGTTTAAGCTGTATTTATTATGTGAGATGCTGTGTAAATTTCTTTCCCCCCATTGTAATTGAATACCCATAGTGTTTATAGAAGTGGGCTGTTACATGGCCAATTGAATATTTGGATACCCAGAGGAAAACTTTTCCTAGAGTTTTAGTTTTCTACATTATTTCTTAAAAGGTTAAGAACTTTGCTTCTTGATTATAAATTAGAATTCCTTTGCATTTCTACTCTTTTATTCTTTCTGTTTACTCAATAGCCAAACCAGATTTCCCTGGAAGAGAACATCCTGGTCTCCCGTTACATTAACAACCCCCTGCTCATAGATGGTGAGTTGTGATTAGACTCTTGGCTACATTGGGCCTAGATCCCTCTAAACTTTTTAACCTTTTCTTAGTCTTCTCTAGTGTTTTTAAAGCTAGTATGAAATTTTTGACATCTCTGACTTCAGAGATGAGACTGTTTCTTGCCTACCATTGAAGATTATTTTGAAGGTGAAATAAGATAATGTAAGAGAAAGTGCTGCCAGGCGTGGTGGCACACATCTATAATCCTAGCGCTGTGGGAAGATGAAGCAGGAGGATCAAGAGTTCAAGCCCAGGGGTTGGGGATTTAGCTCAATGGCACCACACCTGCTGCCTTGCAACTGCAAGGTCCTGAGTTCAATCCAAGGTACAGAGAGAGAGAGAGAGAGAGAATTCAAGCCCAGCCTGGGAAACTTAGTAAATTAGCAAGACTCCATCTCAAAGAAGAAAGAGTAGAGGTGCAACTCAGTGCAAAGGCCGTTGGTTCAACCCCCAGTCCCGCCCCTTCCCCAGATGCTTTAGATGCTACACAGCCACTGATACTATGTGAAAGTAGTGTGTGTATATGGGACACACACAGATATACTATAATAATACAGTGAACTTGTTATTTACCCACAAAAGGAAAGGTTGTGGGTAGGTAGTGTGTCCTTCTCATGAAGAGGAGTGTTCTTTCTTTCATAATTCTTCTTTACATTGTCCTGTTCATTCTCAAAAGTGTTTATTTTTTCCTGTGAATCCAAACTTTTTTTTTTCCAGATTTCAAGTTTGATGTGCGCCTGTATGTGCTTGTGACTTCCTACGATCCTCTTGTCATCTATCTCTACGAAGAAGGATTGGCTAGGTAAGGCACTTTGTGTTCAGTTGGAGGGCTCACTAGGATATATTAGAGCAGACCTATGAAGGAGAGTTCTAAGATCAAGCTGTTTCTTTCAAGAAAACAGAATATACCCAGGTGGGCTTCTGATGACAGAAGGCAGTCTTAGTGCTGAGCAGTCTCACCTTCTTGCCTTTTTTTTTTTGGTACCAAGACCAAACTCAGGACCTTGCCCTTGCCAGGCAGGCAGTGGAACCACTGAACAAAATCCCCAGCCCAGCAGCCTTACTTTCACACTGACACAATCTTTGTCACCATGCCCAGCAGTGATCTAGGTCATGGGTTATTTTGATGCAGTGACAATGTTATGAAGACTGAGGGTAGTAATTTACCGTAGTTGCTCAGAATAGATTTAGATAGAAAAATCAAACACCATATTTATTTACCTGCCACATTCCAGGCATTTATTTTCATTCTCACAACGGTCTGATAGCTAATCCATTTTTGCAGTTGAAGAAACTGAGACTTAGGTGAAAGAGCTTCATATTGCTTTCTGAGACCACCCAGCTGGGGCTGGGAGTGGAGCAGGGGTTGGAACTCGATAACTGAACTGTTCATGCTCTTTCATATTCAGGGTGCAGGTTTTATGCTTTGCAGTGGTCATGTATATGTGGTTTTCTTCTTGAGGTGGTTTATAGGTTTTAAGATAATGCAATTTGCAAAAGTTGAAGCTATAATGAGCTGAAGTTTTGTTTTTCATGTTCATAGAAGTTTACAGATGATAGTGTTTCTGTAAAACTTTTAAAACTTTTAAAACAAGTACATAACTTTGCTATGGTTGGTTTTCTTTTCCACTGTGAAACTACCTCGTTCCCTTTTCCCTGCCCCACACCTTTGCTTCCTTTCCCTCCCTCCATTCACCCTTCCTTCCTGTTTTCCCTGAAGCTCTGGTGTGCAGTGGCCTGTGTGTTGTACAGCATAGCAACTTACCAGGGAGTTTGAATCTGTGAGCAGTCACAGCAAGCTGAAAAGCATATTTCTTTATTTAGAAAATGCACTTTGAAGGTAGGAAATACCACGAGTAAAGGATTATGTATGTGTGTACAGGTGATGAAGAAAATAGGTACGGTTTCTGCCCATGCAGAACTTGATCTAGTATTCCTGTTTATGTATGAGGGCTTTTGTACATGTTATTATATTCTGATAACTTTTATGTTTTAGTAGTTTTTCAGTACTGTAGATTAGAACTACATCCCAGTTCATTTTAATTTTTATTTTCAGACAAAGTCTTGCTAAATTGTTCAGGTTAGGCTCAAACTTGTGATCCCAGGATGTTGGGATTACAGGTGTGTGCCACTTTGCCTGACTTGAGTGATATTTTAATTTGTTTATGTGCTTATTTCCTTTGATACATCCTTTGAGCAGAACCCAGAGAGCACAGAATGCTTTCAGCTGGTTAAGCTATGTCTTCCCTTCACCTCTAGGTGGCGATGACAGCATTTATAAGGCCTGTCATAGTCTTTACTAAGATTTCTGAGTTTGGGCCCTAGGAACACTGGAGGCTGCTGAGACTCCACAGTTCTGCCCTCTTCCCTTGAAAATGGAGAAAGAGGACAATGAGGACATTTTTCAGTTGTTGGACAAAGGCCGCAACCAGGCATCTAAGCATAAACTGTTAGCCTTAATCAAGTCTTCACTGGAAAAATTTCTATAGTGATTGTAGACACATAGGCTCATATACTGGGTTGTAGAGATAGATAAGAATACGTATAAAAACCTAGTTCCTATATTGTCTAGAACAAAAAGAAGGTAAGATATACCCCTAATTTCTGCTCAGGGGTATAAGGGCTGAAGATTGCAGTTTGTCACTGGAGACTTCTGAGCGTTTCCTCTTTTTTTCATGAGCTTCTCCATTTTTCTTCTTTCACTCATTCTCACCTTAGCTGGTTTCCGTTGTCCTGCTTGGGTATTGATTATGTCCTGCCATAAATTGGATGTCTGATATATAGAAAAGATGTCAAGGCACTTTATGTGCACTCTCTCTTGAGGTCATCATACCAGTACATTTTGCATAATATTTCAAGCATAAATAAAATTTGGCGTAGTTTAAAGACTTGTGTGGTTTACAGCACAAAATGAGAGCAATGCTAACATTATTAGAGTTTGCAAATGCTTTGACTGCTGCTTGTGTGTTGTTCATCAGAACACACTGAGTGGAGTAATTCTTCTCTTGCTTGCAATAGGAACTAAAATACAGTATTTAACCAGTGGATGATTTTATCAAAAGCTAGGCTTTTCCAAAAGTCTAAGTGAATACAAAAGTTTCACCAAAGGATGGTATGACAAGCTGTTTCCCAGAGTCCTGTGAGGGTCCATTGTTCTGTGCACTCATTCCGATGTACCCAAGTTCCCTGTCTTTACTCATTGTGTGTCTTGGCACACGCCTGCTTTTAATCCTCAGAGTGTGCGCGACAGCGTCATTGCATTCAACAACAGTCTATAGCTCCCCAGTCCTGCAGCTTCTAGTAATCGGAGGTCACGTGTGTTTTATGTATACATAACTGAAGAAAATCAGCGTAAGATGAGATCACTAGGTCATTTTACTGAGGCTTAACAAGGAAAACCATAATCTTTCCTAAAGAGACAGAATTGGAGGCAAAAAATGAGCTTCTTTCTATAGAAAAGAAGGCTCCTACACCGATATCATTTCTGTTTAGGGCCTCATGTTAATGCTAGATGACAGAAAGCTTATTTCACAAGACACAGTTTTTTAAATGTTATTTTGTGTAAATTTTTTACCTTCTTAAACTAACTAAAGAAAAAGAACCTAATTTCTTCATAGATTTCAGCTGTCTTTGTTTTAGCCACACAGGAAGTAGATGCTCTTTTCTTACATGGGTAAAATGCTGAGGTGTTGTCCAAATACAGTTGCCTCTCTGGTATTTAGGTCCCGTCTTATGGTCCAGGGTAGTACAGTAGAGTCACCCTGCTTCAGAGCTTCCAAGTGATACAGGGGAAATAAATGTGACTCCAAACCTGTTTGATGTCAGGTATACTGAGTTCGTGTTCTGCAAAATTGAAGCGTGATTTCAAGGAAAACAGAAGTTAAGAATAGGAAAAATTTATTGAGAGCAATAGCTCCTGAGAGACAGGAGCGGACCCAAAAGTGGGCTGCCAATATGCCCACTTTTCAGAGGAAGCTTTTTAGAGCAAAATCACGAAGTGAGTACAAAATCATGAAGTGGGTACAATGTGGGTGAAAACTATAATCAACCAGTAAGATTGCAAGTATAGCTGCTTAGGTAATATTGATCCAGTGGAGAAGCAGATCACTTATCAAGTATACATGGAAAGAACAACGACATTTTTAGGAAGGGATGGATCAGGAGGTCCTGGTCACCCAACTGGGTGACTGATGTCTATGTAGTCTATTTTGGGCCAGGTGATACCAATTACAGTATACTTTTCAGTTTATTGCTTTTCCCTTGAGGAGGCATGTAGGCCTGGTCATTCCATCTTTAGCTTGAGGCCTGGCCTTTTAGAGGTACATCTCCAGCCATAGTTGCAGTGTATTCTCGTCTTCTGCACTGACTCCCTCAAGGGCCCAGCCCTGTCCGACTGCCTATATAACATTTGTACCTAACTTAGTTATCTATCATACATGCATGTTGCTGTTTAGCACCAGCAGAGGACACTCGGTTTCCAGAGAGGGGTTCTCTTTTCACCAAAATGGTGGAAATTCTTTTTCCTATCAGAAGTGGAATCCAAAAAGACCTTGTCCAGGATTTTACAGCTGTGAGTGGATCCAATCTGGGGTTTAAATGATTTGACAAAGCCTTTTGGTGGAGACAAAGCTAATAGCTAAATTTGCACTGAAATAACAAAAAAATTTAAAACAAAATTGAGTTAAAAACCACATGTGCTGTAGGAGACTTAGCGATAGTATCATAGCACTAGCACCTTTGGGGTCAGGGAAGTGCTCACCTGGGGAACTGAGAGCGTCCCACCCATGCAGTGGAGGTAGGAGACAGACTGAGTGGATCCAGAGAAGGCCTGGATGGGTCTGACTTTTTTCTGCCTTGGCCACATGATTCAGTGGGAATTTAGAAAAGACCCCAAAGCATTTGTAATGCCAGTCCCTTCTTCCTCACCCCCAGTTCCTTCTTCAGTAGCCTTCCTTGCTAATTAACACTGGCTCCGCAGGGATATTTACCTTTTCTCTGCTGGATTCCTGTGGTTTTGAAAGAATTCAGGTACTTGCTGGTTGCCAAGGAATTCAGATTACCTCACAGGCTGCACACTGTCCAGAATCTGCCACAGCAGCAAGTTGGGGGAAGAGACACCAGAAACGGGGAGAAACCCTCCCCAGCGTTCATTGTCACCCTCCCTGGCAGGTCCTGGCTGTTTGTGAAGTTTGAGTCACTTCTGGCTCTGAAGACAGAGGATCAGGCTGGTAATCCCCTCCCAGACGCTCCACAGGGCGCTGCCTAGTCACTGCCGCATTTTGGCAGTCTCAGGGCTGCAGCTGGTTGACAGCAGATCAGAGAGCACTTGGGCCCCTTGTTTCTCTTCCATAAGATTTTCTGGGTCAGGCCAGGATGAAACCCAGTGGCTCCTGGCAAGGCTGCCCGAGGTGCAGTCTCTTCACGGTCCAGGCCTCTCTGTGGCTCAGCCTGGCTACACCTGCTGAAAGATGACTCATTCATGCGCCACAGCTCGGACTCCTCAGGGTTGACCTCATCTCTTCTATGTACATTTGTTTGGAATACAGAAAATACAACTACCAAAGAGGAGGCTTAACTGTCCTACTTCTAGATTCTAAGACTGACCGCAAGAATATTTGATGTCAGATTCTTAGAAGAACAAATAGCTTTTGAATAAGAAAAAGAGTTTCCCAGATCCCACTAACTTCTTATTTTCCTGTTCTGGTTCTGTATTGGTAAGGATTTTGGAACATGCAACTCAGGTGTGTTTTCATTTACTGCTTATACTCCACATGCTCCTTGATTTACAGTGGGGTTATGTCT